TGATGCTGGGGATCAAACTAGTATTGGGCACATGCCAGGCTTGTGCCTTAAGGATCATTCTTCATCCAACCAATAGAGTAATAGCACAGGTAGTAAACACAGTAGACTCAGAGACAGTAACTATTTCTCTACCTGGGTAATGTCTTTGAGTCATTAGGCACAGCCATGGAAGCCAACATTTGTGGAAGGAGCTGGGAAGGCACTGGACATTGCAGAGAAGGACTGTCAGGAGCAAAGGTGGGCGCTATCCCGGACTGATTCTCAGAGAGGAACAGGTGGTCCTGTTCAAAGAAGAAGGTAGAGGGAGATGTGCTAAGAGTGGCAGGAGTGAGGCTCAACCAGGTGAGGAAGGACATAGAAAATGCCAGGAAGCTGTCTAGAAGCTATTGGGAGTGGGTGGCATGAGGAGAGAGATCTTGCTGGTGACCCAGTAGAGGAAGGGCCAAGGAGGGGGCCACTGGGTGCAAGGAGCTATGAAAAGCTCCCGAGTTCCATTGATAGGTTCCAATAGGGGTCCAAGCCATGGCTCCGCCCTGAGAACTAAGGAGAGGATGGAGGTAAGAGCTGCAGGGCCTAGTGTCTGCTTAGGGGTCTGGGTGAGGAAAGGGAGCTGGTGAATTCATCCTTAGTACTGGAGTGGGGAACAAGGTGGGAAGAGCTGTTGTTCCCTCACCTAAGAGAGGGAATGCTGGAAGGAGAGAGTTGGGGTGTCACGGGGCATAGAATTCTGGGTCTGAAACATACCAACTAGGAGACGCCAGTGAATATTTGGACAGAGGGTTCCCTTGACGCTTGTTTGGTCCCGACTGAAGCAGCATTGTGCAGGGTGGGCAGGATATTTGGAGTAACCAGCCCATCTGGTTGATGAAGCCATTGATTCAGTAAATACTAAGGGCATCAGTCAGGCTACAATGTATGCTGTGACACAGGGCAACCCCACTCCCTCTTCAGGAGGGCCCCATGTTTCATTTAATGTTCTGCCATCACCACCTTAAAGTTGCTCTTAATTTTTAACTTAAATTTTTTTTTTATTGTCAATTTTATTTTTTGGTTTAGAGTCACACCCAGCAGTGTTTAGGGATTACTCTGGGCTCTGTGCTGAGGGATCACTCCTGGTGCTGCTCAAGGGACCATAATGCAGTACCAGGCAGTAAACCCAAGTTGATGGCGTCTAAGAAAAGCTCCTTAACCGCCCCCCCCCACACACGCACACACAATCTCCCTAGCACTAATTTCCATTTATTTTTAAGCTAGAGGCCCTCCCTTTGTATTTAGACCCTCAAGATTACACAAGCTGGGCCAAAGGGATGAAGCTCAGCAGGCTGGAGCTCATACTTTGAGAGGACTGCATTTAGTCCCCGCCACATCATGGCCTCCTGTCTGAGCACTGTCAGCCAAACTGAGACTCATCCGGAGCTTTTCGGGTTGTGACTCTCTCCTTACGGGGGAAAAACAAAATCGCATGAGCTTTCCTGCTTCTAATAGCCTGACACAATGCAGCAGAATTGAGACAGACGTGGTGTTTATCTCAGCACCTTACAGGGCAGCATGGACAGTGACCAAGTTAGCAATTGAGAACAGAATGTGCTGTGCTCTCTGTTGGAAGCACCAGGCAGAGGGACACGCAGGGAGGCCTCTAAATCTAACCTTGCGGGGTGGGGGACAGCACTGGGAAATCCAATGACTGGGAAAAAGGAGTAGAAAGATACCATTTGGACCATAGCCCTGTGCAAGGTGCAAGGAAGCCTGGGGTGGGGGGTCCTGAGGGGGATGAAGGGGAGCAGGAGAAGGTGTGTCTTGGAAGGCTGGTTGGCAGCTCCGGGGACTGGACTGCAGCAGAGCCTTCAAGCAACAGCGAGGCCATTTAGTTTTATAGGAAAAGAAAGAGAACAGACCCTAAAGGTGCATTTTTTCCCTTCATTTCGCGCGTGCGTGCGTGCGTGCGTGTGTGTGTAGAGACCACTCAGCCTTTGCTGGGGTGGTTGTGCCCAAGACCACTTCCAGTGATAATCTGCCTGGACAGCCTGATGGTTTGCTATTCCGGGACCACCAGAACCACATCAGTTGGCACGTGGGAGATGGTGCATGACTTCCGGGGAGGGAAAAGCATGTGCTCTACCATGTGTGCTGTCTACCTGGTCATTGAAGGTACTTTTCGGATGAGGACCGGCCATTTCTTTGTGTTTGCTTCTCTTTGGTTTTGGAGTGCATCAGGGGGAGGGGTATTGGCCCACAACTGACAGTTGCAAGGAAGTGAGACTCTGTGTTTGGGGGTCACTCCCTCTAGTCCTTGGGAGGTCACGCAGTGCCGGGAATTGAACTCAGACCTTCCCACATGCAAAAACATGTGCTCGGCACTTTGAGCTGGCTCTCTGGCCCATTTTTATCTAATTTTAAACAGCAAGTATTCTGAACATGGGTTTGTACTAGGGATTAAGAGCCCATGGGGAGTGAGGTTGGGCATCTGAAGTGGGTACCTCTGCTAAAGTGGGCAATGCCACCTCCCCTGATGGGACATGCTGAAAAGGCTAGCCCAGAGCAGGAAGAGGAGAGAGGCAGAGGAATTTCTCTTCTAGCCCTGTGGTTCTCTGCTGGCAACCCCATAGGCCTTGTGTGGGGGAACAGAGGGTGCATCTTTTTTCCACACTTTTCCTGCTGTAAAGCCCAAGGAAAGCTGCTCCTGAGCCCTGGGATTTGTTGTTGTTGTTCAGCAAGTATCTGTGGGGCTTCTGCCTGACCACAGGATTCTGGGCCTTTGCAGTATTAGAGAGTGTGGAAAACGGGCCCTGGTCTCCTGCACATGGCTCTGAAGAGCCTCTCTTGTGGTATGCCTAATGCAAAGTAGAGTTAAGCTACGTTTTTTAAGCAGAAGGCTACCTTTGGAATGTATAACTGAATGGCTTTTTGAAAATTCTAAGGTTTTCAGGGCCCTTCATGCTGATTATACCCCATTAGGGCCACAGCAATATTACACCAGGTAGGGCACTTTCCTTGAATGCACCCAACCTAAATTTAATCCCTGACACCTCTGAGCACAGAGCCAGGAGTAAGCCCTGAACACTGCCAGGTGTGACCCAAAACAAACAAAAAAATGTTACACCTTCTTCTGGATCTCCTTGGCACTCCCTCCTTCAAGTTCTCTTCCCGCCTGTAGTCTAAAGCTTACCTTGCTTTTCATTGATGCCTTTTTGCATCTGTCATTCAGAGAGACATTTGGAAAGATCTCCAAATGGTTTGTGAATGATGGGTGTCTCCATTTTGGGGGAGGGCCGTGATTGTGCATTCCTTTGCCTGGGACCTGATCAAAAGGACATCTTTGTCGCCTCTTGGGCGGTATCATAAAACAAGTGACAAGAATACTATGACATTCGGGCTTTCTCCTCTGGGTTGGTTTCTCTCATCTTTTCTATGCTCTCAGTTTCCAGCCTTCTGCCAAGAGCCCTACATTCTCTAAAGTCCCCAAAGTTTTTGGTGGGCAAAAACCCTCCTCCTTTTTCTGCACTGTGCCTCCCCCCCCCCCCAATAGTCTCTGTGACAGCAACATCTGAGGCACATGTGACACAGGGCTGGGAGAAGGAGTCTCGAGAGCAGCAGTCATTTCTACAGGTTGTTTCTGGGGACATACTCCCTCTGCAGTGTGATTCTGGGGAGATACACAGGGCATCTTAGCTCAGAGACTGCAGCAGCCTGGCACTGAGCTTACCACGCTGGGGGTTGCCCCAGAAAGCAAGTTGGGTACATTGGTCCCCAGTCCCCAGGTCCTGGGGAACCTGGCATGCTGTCTGCATCTCAGTGCTACAAACTCCTTCCATCTGTAGTAGAGATGGCAACCTTCCACCACAAGCGCTGGGTAGTCAGAGAGTGACTGTCAGGAATCACTCCACAGCCAGAAGTTCTCGGCACAACAGATGCCCATGGAAACCAGCCCCAGGAAAGCAGCTCCATAGTGCCTCATCCTAGGGCCTCTCCTCTTAAGTATCTATTCTCCAATGAACTGTCTTTGTTCAAGTGCCCTTGAGTTGACATGAGCTCTTGGGCATATTGCGGGGAGCCTGTGAATTTGCTGAGGTGTAAGATGAGAGGAGGTTGGCTTTTCCTGGGATTCTCAGATGGGTGTGTGTGCCCCAATTTTTACTGTGCCTACCATGCCAACAAACTAAGTCGGACACCCTAAAAGACTGAAGTGGAACCTGAGTGTTGGCTGTTCTGAGTAGCAACCAGTGGAAACTCATAAACATTCTTGCATAGCAAGGATCTAAGGTTCCACAGTCCACTATAGAACATTAGCCTTATGTGACTGCTAATACCTAAAGATAAATTGAAAACACATTCAATTAAACTGCCCTGCGGTTTCTCATATACAATGACACTAATCAAAATGCTTGGTACCTCTGGCTGCCACACTAGATTGTAGACAAAGCTTAAAATACTTTTATCACTGGGCCAGGGGAATTGTCCAGGTGTTAGGGTGCTAGACTCAGGATTAATGCCCAGCAGTGCATGGCCTCTGGCACCACACCACAGGGCCCGAACAGCACATATCTCCTAAGGTCCTCCCGTTGAACCCCCAACCAAGTTGGCTGACCATTGCCAGAAATGGTCCCAGGGGAGTTTCCCGCAACCACCACCCAAAAAACCCCTTCCATTATCAAAGAAAGTTCTGTTGGACACATGATTCTAGAATGGTCTTTGCTATATAATTTATTCACTCATCTATTGATTCACAGAGCCACTGTTATGTGCCAAATATTTTGCTCCCAATTGGGCAATGAAGGCACAGCTCCACATAGCAGCCAAAGTCCATTTGAACTGTGTAGGATGTGATTCTCTTAATTCTCAAAATAAAGGTACCTCTGGACAAACCCAGAGTTGGCAACTGGGTTGGGAGAAAAGTTTCCCCTGGACATCTTGTTCATGTTCTGAACATGCTCTGGAGTTTTTGCAAAACCTGGAGGGTGGCTTCAGAGACCGGCTTCTGACAATGCCTTTTCACTCTTCAGGGCCATCATCATCAGAAATGGAGAAATCATTCCCATGTCTTCAGAATTCACCCCAGAAACGGAGCGCCAACGGCTTCAGTACCTGGTAAGCGTCCGTGGGCCTGGCAGCGTGCCATGGCGTTGGACATGGCGATGGAACTGTATCCTGGCGGAATCTGTTGCTGTTGACATGGGGGCAGGCCCACAGCAGCCCCACACCATATGGTGCTCACTCCCACACACACACCTTCTGCATCACACCTCCCGGCTCCGAGTGTGACGACATTCCACCTCCATGCATTTATTATTGTCGCTGATTTTCTCCCATCTGTGACCCATCGGAGGCATGGTGTGCTGTTTCTGTTCATGAAAGGCACTGTCGAAGAGCACAGAGACCTTTTTCTAGGGCTGCTGCTCACTCAGACTCAAGTGGGGATGTGGGGGAGGGCCAGGTTGAAATTGAGTAGTGAGGGGGAAAGTGGCCCCATATGAGCCGATAGACACAGCCGTTCCTCGCTCAGACACTGCCTCTCAGCCACGCAGACATCAGAAAACCTGCTTCTCCATGTAGGTCACACTCTCTGGGGTGGAATTATGGAGGAAACTTCTGTTTGTTGGGGGGATGGCCACACCTGGTTGTGCTCAGGCTTTGTTCCTGGCTCTGCTCTCAGGGATCACTCCCAGAGGGCTTTGGGGGACCACATATGGTGCCAGGGATCCTATCCTATCCCATCCTTGCAAGGCAAGTAAGTACCTTTCCCGCTTTACTATTTGTCCGGCCCTTTGGGGTGAAATTATGAGGGTAATAGGAAGGCTGCTGGGTATTTCAGGTCTGAGGGGTGCAGTGTGCTTCACTTGAAGGCTCCCATTACCAGGGACACAGAATACACTTTATTATTTCTTGACCTCAAGGTGTGAGTTGTAGGGCTTAGTTCAGTCACTTTGGTAATATCCCAGATTGTTGGGGTGGGGGGAGGCAGAGAGGGGGTGTGCTTTTCAGGGACTCCCCCTGTGAATAGTAACTTTGTAGATGGAATGTTTTCTTGCCAGGGGCCTTGCTTGTTAGACAACCTGCTGTTAGGGGGAAATTGATTCAGGTTCATGAAGGGTATCATCTTAAGTGAAGTAAGTCAGAAAAAGGACAAGTACTACACGATATCACTTTTGGCAGTACATAAAATACCAAGACAAGGGGACATAGGGTATCAAAGGGGAGAGACCTAGATTACCCTGAACCCTAGATTATAGAAGTGGGGAAGGTCAGAGAAGGAATGAAATTGAGGGATACAGTGGTTAAAAAAAAAATTGCAGACATGCATTGGCAAGGAAACTAGGGCAGGAGCCCTGAACACATGGGTGGTATAGAGCTGTGATATATGTATGTATCTAAAGCACAGATCCAATGACACTATCAGCAGGAGACCCAAACTACAATAACTAAACTTAAAAATGTGTCTGCCAAGGAGGTAGACTGGGGGGTGGGAGGGAACCTGGGACATTAGTGGAAGGAAGTTGACACTGATGGTAGGATTGTTATTGGAGTGTTGTATGCCTGAAACTCTATTATGAACAAGTTTGTAAATCATGTTGTCTTATTTTTTTAAAAAAAGACAACAAGAGCAAAAGATCCAGTTTCCTCAGAAAGGATTTTTTTCCCATCTCTGAATGCTGTTGTGTCTGAGTGTGTGAACAGTTTATAAGGACTTTGGCCATCTCAGAAAGTCACCATGCAGTTTCCCCCAGGTGTGCGTGTGTGTGTGTGTGCGTGTGTGTGTGTGCGTGCGTGCGTGCGTGCATGCGTGTGTGTGCGTGCGTGTGTGTGTGTGTGTGTGTGTGTGTGTTCTCAGTGACTAAGTTCTATGGCTGTATATAATTAACTGGTACATGCTACAGCAAGAATCCACAGCCAACATACAAACATTTTTTGGCTTTTTTACCAGCAGTTGTTTTCTGACCTTTCCATTCTCAAGCTGGTAAATTCTCCAGACCCTCAACTCTGACCCTCGAGGAAGCTGGGAGGGATCCCACTGTAGCCACAGAGCCACATTAACTGTTATTTGCTGATCTGGCAGCTCTCCCCAAGTTTCTTAGCTTTTGTCACCCAATGGGGAAGAGCTAAACCAGAGCTCCCCCAGTCTCTGGTTGGGACACATTTTCAGCAGCCGGGGCCCTTCCCAGCATCCATTATGTCTGACCTGCTGGCCACCTGTCTGACTTACTCCCACCCGACTCCTACAAAGCCTCCCGTGCATCTCATTATGCACCTTATCACATCTCCGCCTGGTACCCACTGACTCCTCACAAGCTGCTGAGCACGAGCTCCACTTGGCCATTGCTATTTACCTCTCCATCTTCTTGCCCTTGGAAATAGGCTCTTCCTGGATGGCCCTTTCACGCCAGGAAGACTTCCACATCCATTGAGATTCCAGTACAAATTTACTTGCTTCGGGACATGGCCCCTCCATGTGCTCAGTTCCCAGTGCTCACACAGCACCATATAGATGTCACCGAGACCATCAATGACTCAGTAATTGGTACTGTTTGTTCTGATCTCTGTGTCTTCTTCCAGGCCAAGGCCTGGAGTGTAGACTTCTTGCCTCTGACACTTCCTATGGGCAGTGCCTAGTGCAAGATCATGTAGCAAATGAAAGAATGAGCCAGTGTGCCTGTTGACATCTGGATCTTTCCCATTTAGGCCTGGCCCTCCGCCTTTCCCCCAAAACATATTGCTGTGGAATTTAGTCTTTGCTTCCCTACCACAGTTTCTCACCCCATCTTGGTCACCATCTTCAGAAAACAATCCCTTGTTCCCTTAGCTCCCATTTTCAGACTAGTGGCAATGGATAATAACAGTTTCACTTTATGAAAGTTGGAAATTTGAAATTTTAAAGTAAAGCTTAAAAACTTTCAGGCCAGGGGGCTGGACAGTAGCACAGCGGGTAGGGCGTTTGCCTTGCACACAGCCAACCCGGATTCGATTCTCAGCATCCCATGTGGTCCCCTGAGCACTGCCAGGGGTAATTTCCTGAGTGCAGAGCCAGGAGTGACCCCTTGTGCATCGCTGGGTGTGACCCAAAAAGCAAATAATAATAATAGTAAAAATTTTCAGACTAGGCGCTGGAGCAATAGCACAGCAGGTAGGCGTTTGCCTTGCACGCGACCCGGGTTTGATTCCGAGCATCTCCTATGGCCCCTCACCACCGCCAGGAGTAATTTCTGAGTGCAGAACCAGGAATAACCCCTGTACATCCCCGGGTGTGACCCAAAAAGAAAAAAAAAGATTTTTCAGGCTATAAGAATGCTACAAAGAGCTCAACATGTTAAATTTTGAGAATGGATGGGAATACTGACACTTCTCAGATTCCTGAACATCCAGGGCATTGTTGAGATGGTTGGGGAAAGATGTGTGTAGCCTTCAGTCTTCACTTCGTCACTGACTGGCTGTGTAGTTTCTACAAGGTTCTCCATTCATCCCCAGTTTCATCATCAGTAATAACAGGAAAATCTCAAAATCTAGGTCAAAGGATAAAAGAAAATAATATGTGCAGTGTTGGAGTACAAGGAGCTTAGGTTTGTCAGGTTGCACCCATCACAGTGCTCCCAAGTCATTACCATTTGTCTGTAACCACTTCTATGCTCTCTTCCCCAATCAATTCTCATCCTTCTAGGACACTGAACTTGTACTGTAAGTTAATATTGCCTTTCTCCTCTCCTTATGTCTTTTGAATAGTTTAATGCACTGTCCTTTTTGTATAGATACAGGAAGACAATTAATATTATGCTTTATAGCTTAGGATTTAATTGGCCTTGAATATTATTCACTCCTGGGCATCTGCTTTCTCAACTTAAGCCTCAGTTGCCCTCCTTCCTAGCACCCCAAGGGCAGGGTCCCAACGTGGGACTGGATGGAACCAGGGCAAGCTGGTAAGTTATGTGCTACCCTGGCATCGCGATGGGCCAGGCCAAGGTGCCACGATTCTTAACTATAGGTTAAGAGTTTGATCATAGGCAAATGCTGTCATGATCCAAAAGTAACAACGAAACTAGGACCCTGCTAAGAATAGGAAAGATATCTGGCCTGAGTACTGCAGTCTGAGATGGAGGTGGCCCTAGGAGAGCAATTCTATAAGCTTAAAGTATTTCTTACTGTGTCCATACAAAACTATTTATATTATATATACTTATATGTTGGTCGGACAAAGAGAGGAGAAACACACCCAGGGAATTCTGTTCTAGTGTGGGTTGATCTGCTAAATGAGAATCGCTCCTAGAAGCAGCTTTCCCGTGTTACCTGACTAGCTTGGATGAGACTGAACATTTCTCCCCTTCAAACTGCTTCAGTAAATTCACAGGAACCTAGCTGGTCTTAGATATGCGGATCCCGGTGCTAAGCCAGGCCTGATCTTGGGGATGTAGATGCCTGGCTCCAGGCAGGCTAATCTTTGAGGTGTAGATTCCAAGCTCTAGCAGACTGGTCTTTGATGTGCTAATCCAAGTGCTTGTAGTTTGTAAAAGGTGAGGCCAAGATTACTGGCCAGTGGATGTAAAGAAACAATGTATGTTCTGCCATCTCATAGTTCTTTCTGTAACTCCTTTTGATGACATCACTGTATTGCGCCCTTTAGAGGTACCATGATCTTTATAAGGGAGATTTCAGGGCTCTCTGGGGGGGACACGTGCATCAGAGAACCTGGGAAGATGGGGCTGAGGACAGAAGCTGTGAGAACAAAGGAGCACATGCTTGAGAACTCCTGAGGCCTCCATGACATACATTTCTTCCATGTAATAAACTGCTACTAAGACCAACCAGCTTTGCCCTCGTTTCCTTCCTTGCCTGACCATCGCCATCAACCTCCCTGGAGTGGGGAAACGGCCTGAGACTACCGAACGTGGGCGGCCCTTTGCCTGTCTTTTTTTTTTTTTGAGTTTACACAGTGCAGAATTCTTTTTCATTGCATAATGTTTGGTTATTGTTTGGTGAATCAAAGTCTCACATTTTCCAGTCCTGATGACCTCCAAGCAAAGTAATATTTTCTTGTTTGTATTTAAGAATTATTTCTAATGTTCTTAAGATTTGTGAACATTTTTATGTGACTCTTGAATTAT